GTATGTCTCCAACATTTATAAGATTTGCCAGGAATATTTATGAATATCTCCAATAGACCATTTTGAGGTATGTAAACAAAAACAATGGTCCCACTGTATTTCCTGTTTTACATTTTTCATTTTTATAGCTTCAGACAATCCAAAAAGAGCCACATATAGATAATGTTATGACAGCTGTTTTAACATTAGGTTATGATCGAATTGCCTCTTGGTACAATTATAAAATAGTTTGAAAACAAGCAGGAAATGTTCATGGGCCAATGACATGACCAAATTGAAATGGTCTATAGACCTACTGACAGGCATTAATGCATCCTGAAGTAAAGTGAAACGGCCATAAACTCCAGCAAGATAAAGAAAATATGTAGCACCATAGGCCTATAAAGATCTATAAATAAAGGATAATTATGAATGCTGTGCAGAATCTAGTTTTTCGCAATTCCGCGATCGCTGAATCAAATGCAAAATCAACAAAAAGTGGCAAATTTTTGCGATCCTACAAAATTCTTAATTTACACACAAAATAATCTGAAAAAAATCAGACAAAACATCCAATTCCAAATCATATAATCAAATTATACTTCTTCAGTTTGCACACAACATATTTGCGAAAAAGGATGTCTCAAATGCGCCCTCACAATCATTACATTACAACGCGAATTGGGAGTTTTGTGCATATGACATGCTTCAACCTGCAAAAGACATTGGGAAACATCTAACAAACGATGCAGTGGAACAGACAAAAAAGCAAGCAGCTTACAATGATAGAGATTTGTTGAGGATGATGGACGTAACCGAATTGAAGCACATTATTTGTGCTTTACATGTATGGCAATATGGTGTGTGTCAAATCGATAAATGTTTACGTTTAACTCTTTTCCTACAGTTAACGAGAGAAAACGCTTCCCTGCCATTGACAAGTTTTACGGCCTAACGCAAGTCTTGAGTGAGGTACATGATGTCATATGCTCCAAAAAGTAAAATCTTAGAGAAAGGAAGATCGTGGATAAAAATAAGAGTTGTACAACCTTTCTTTGGATGTAGCGGATATATCATGTCATATAAATTATTTATAACACATTGTGCAGCCCAATTAACCCACTATAAAAAAAGTAGCAACTGAAGGTTTGGAATGAGAAGCTGTAATATAGCCTTGACAGGAATGAATTTTGGGTAAAGTTTGGATAGGATACACTGCCGGCCAAAAGTGAGATATGCACATCAGTATAGCAGCATTTTTTTATATGTCACTAACAATAATTAATATTTTTACAGTACTATGACGGTTGGGTTTAGGGTTTAGGAGGTAGATGTTAAAAAATACTATTTCTTGGGTAAGTTATTAGATAACAAAAATATTACTTGGTAGGACTACTGTTTTTATGTTACTGTGATGGTTGGGTTTAGGGTTAGGGTAGAGTTAGACGTTAATAAAATAGAATTAATGGGAAAATCTTTTTCGTTAATTTCTGGTTGCAACCATATCTGTACTAGCAACAACCTGAATTTTGGTGTGGAGCTCCACCACGGAGGAACGAATGTAGTGGAAACCGTGTATATATTATACAAACCGCATCGTGTAGCCTGGTCAGTCAGCATGTAACTTTAAAGTGTTAAACAAATTCCACACAGCACTACTACGATTACAGAAAAGTTTGCTCTGTTATAATTCACTTACATTTAAGATGTTTTGGTCCCATTATAACCAGTTGTGCCATTATATATATTAAAAAAAAAAAGCAACAACTGAACGTTTTAAATGAGAAGCTGTAATGTAGCCGTGGCGGGAATGAATTTTGGTGTGGCGCCCTGCCATGGAAGAATGAATTGCGGAAACCATGTACCTTAATTATTTTATCAATTGCTTTAGTGGGTTTACAAACTTTTTAAAGTGAAGTCAACACTTTGCTTTTAAGGCAATGGTTTTAATCACTTTTTTAAATTAATGTTACTTGTTACTTTTTACAATGTGGGCTGCAGTGGGTTTCTTTTTATTTATGTATTTATTACTTAGAGTGCATTTTTTAATTAATGTGTTGTTTTTTAAAGCTGTTTCATTCATATTAAGCATCCAATCAAACTGATTAACCGTGTTAATTGGGCTTTTCCAGTGGTCCAGCAGGCTGAGGCACTGTACTCCTTGAACCTTGTAAAGTTGTGACAATAACAAATAAAAAAAGACAAACATGCATCTATACATTTTTATTCATGTGATGTTTTCGGCATCATTATTTTCAAGCCCCCATGATTAATTAGATCCTCAGAGCCTCTCGTTATGTTTAGGTCTAATGAGCTCACATAGTCCTGTTACATTTACACATGACCTTTTGGTTCATCTCATTTGTGATTTTGCTCAGTGTTTTCTCATTTCAAAGTTAACTGGGAGTTTTAATGTCAGCGAGTCTAGATTTCTTTCCACTTTTCTCCAAGGCTATGTTTACCAGTCATCTTCAACTTTTAGATTTTAGTTGTCATCACTGTCTAATGAGTTTAAGGTGTTTTCGCTTAAGCAGCCAGCAGAAATTTCCAGCGTCAGAGCCATTCATTTCATGCATATTTGATATAAAGCCAGCATAATCAAGACAGGCCGAGAAACTTAACATACTTTTTTTTTGCCTTTTACTTCAGAATTTTGGAACCATTTAAATGTTTAGATGAAACCTAATTCATAATGTTTGGATTTTTCTGCAGGTTTTATTTAAAGACATTTTTGGGCATTAACAGAAATCTGTACTCCATGAATAATTTAGTTACAAAATACTACCAAGGGGTATATATAAATATAAAAGGAACATAAATAGCTGTTGGTCCAGAGGTGTAAGCTCAGAGTCATTACATTCATTCATTAATAAATTCATTCATTGTCTTTCGGCTTAAGGTTTATACTTCTGCGTCATAGATATATACATTAGATGTCACCTACCCTGTTGTTGGCTATTGGAAGGAATGCGTCAATAGAACCTCCATTTTAGTACAGGGTAGCGCTCCTTTAAAATGAATGCAAGACCAAGGTACAGTGGAGGACTGTGGCCATCCAAAGCCGGAGATATACACATATACACATATATCTATGATCGGGAGTTTTCCTGGATGTTAGTATGCATTTTTTTTTTAAATTATGAAAATTATAATTTGACATAACTTTTCTACATTGATGGATCAGTGATTGCACTGGCATTCCAGACAAAAAGTTTGTGTTTGTGTGTACAGAAATGTACACCCTCCCTGTTAAATTTGATCTAATCCGTGTCCTGAAACACACCTCTTCTCCTGCTTTCACTTCTCATACTGACGGAGGAAGCGATTCGTTTGTGAATGAATCTCCGTTATGAACGACTCCTCCACTTAGCCGACAATAATACAAGTTTCTGGCACCGCAGCATCTCGTGGTTATATTTCTTTTGCATTATTTGCGGATTTTTTTAAACAAAACTAGCATAAGCCGAGTATTTAGTGCGAGTTGGAGCTACTTTGCCTTATGGTGAATGCAGTAAGTGACTATTATCATCAATAACGTTACCTGTTTAGCACAAAAGTTCAGAACATACAAAATCGTAAAAAACTGCTCGTTACTACACCCGTAGACAGCGCTAAAGTCCCGCATCTTCACGTAATAACACTGTCTTGACTAGTGCGGTTGAATGACATTGGTCCCGGGAGCACTGTACCAATGTGGCGGCGATATTGACGCATGCTCAGAGTCCCTATGCGCTATTTAGTATATATATCTATGCTTCTGCGTAAGCACACGTGTATGCTCTGCCGCAGCACGTGCACCTCTCAAAAAATGTAACGATGCGTAGCGCAAGCTTTGTGATTGGTTGGCTTGGTACCAATGACGAGCATGGGCGGTGCTGAGATCTGCGAGCCGATGGAGTGAGTGTTTACAAATGTTGAGTCCTGTGAAGGAGCTCCAGATGAAAACTTTTGTTTTGTGTTTACCTTATGATAAAAGTTATTGCACGTCTGCCGGTTCCCGCCACAAAATTAGCAAGTTTTAGCTACTTGTAGTGTGAAACAACAAAATACCCACAAAGAACATCCACACAGAGGGATGTAAAAACCTACAGTACTGCCAGTACTGTATAAATGCAGGATGCGCCATGGCAGCAATCACGCGACGCAGAAGTATAAACCAGACTTTAGTTTCTATTTTAGAGTTCACCACAGCAGAATGAACCACTATTCCAGCATTTGTTTTACGCAGCGGATGCCCTTCCACTATTGGGTACATACACGCATTCACACACAGATACACTACGGACAATTTAGTTTATTCAATTCGCCTCGAACAAGCAACCTTCCTGCTGTCAAGCGACAGTGCTAACCACTGAGCCACCTTGCTGCCAGACTTATTACAGTGTACTATAAAAGAAGATTTCACAGGGCGCAAATGGATTTGTGAACTAGCAAGGAGCGAACGCCTTTTAACCTTCATGTGAGTTAATCCAGAGTTGTAATGCGCACCTTCATGGCTTTGCTCTGATAATGTCACCCGAGGAGCGGATAAGTAAAAGAAGCAATTACAAACTGATCCAAGGACAGCCTAATGGCCAGAAACCTGACGTATTCTCAGAAGCTGAAGCTCGCTTCCAATAATTTCACTGGCACAAAAAAAGTCATCCCTGCAACTGCCGTTTTGGCGCTCGATATCGATTTTTTTTTTTCCGAGGCCCCTCGCAAAGCGACTCTCTTTTTGGAATCAATGGAAATGTAATTTGAGAGAAGCTTCTTCTGCTCTAATGAAAAACTTGTGCAAAATACATGTGGTGTAGACTGAAGTCCCTAATTGCTTGTATAGATTAAAAGGGAAGAGATTCCCCTCTAATCATCTGGCTTTTAACTTCCTCTTCCAGATCTTAAAGGGGCAACACATCACGTTTACATTTGAAATCATGGCTTTTTAGCCAGTGTTTTACAGTTTTGCCACCACTTTAAACAGCTTTATGTTGGAGCCATAATTGTTTAGACTTATGTTTTCTGTTTGATTTCTTCTCCAGTGGCCTTCATTACTGCGAAAGGAGATGAAGTGGAGAATCCTGCAAAGGTAAGCTTGGCACACTTGCTGTGATGCATCAATATGACAGAATTATGATTTTGAGTTGTAGATCTGTCTATCTCGTTCTCTTATTGGTTTGCTTCTCATGCATGCATCACATATATTAGTTTTATTTAGCACCATTAAAGGCCTTGCGAAAAGAGAAATCAAAGTTCCCTTGATCTACAATTGATTTTTTTACAGCACTTTTTTTGAGGTGGCATGTTATGGATTATTAGAATGGTTTGAAATAATCACTTTGATCTTCTATGATGTATTTGCAGATTTCAATGTTGATTATGAACATATTTATAAGTTGCATTTCCACTTTTGCATTAAATATTCAAAGCAACTGTAAATTGAATTAGTTATGTATCTTATATGAACTTATGCTATTTCTCTATGGAAACAGCCTGGAACTAATCAGTAAATGGCCTTTATTTAATGCCCTCATTACAAGAACATTTGGTAGCACTTTAAAATAATGGTCCATTAGTTAATGTTAGTTAATGCATTCACTAAGTATGGACAATCTTGTTGCATTTATTAAAACAATACATTTTTTTTATTTAAAAGAATAAAAAATATTTATCTTTTGTGAAATTTACAAATAATACATTTAAAATGCAATAATTAATAAATTTTTATAAATTCAGTGAAATTTTATTTTATGTAATATTTTAAAAGATCATATTTATCCCACATTTTTTAATATTTATGCACCAGTTTGCAAAAAAGGCAACACTGATGGTGATAATAATAATAAAAGTAATAGTTATAATAATTCATTCATTTATTTTCCTTCAGCTTAGTCTCTATTTCAGTGATCGCCACAGTGGAATGAAATATTCCAGCATGTGTTTTACGCAGCGGATGCCCTTCCAGCTGCAACTTTGTGTTGGGAAACACTCATACACACTCATTCACACACACTCACGCACTACTGACAATTTCGTTTATTCAATTCACCTATACTGCATGTCTTTGGACTCGAGGGGAAAACTGAGCACCCAGTGGAAACCCACGCAAACATTAGGAGAACATGCAAATGTAACCCCTTCGGTCCTACACCACCCAACCCGCTCCGAGCTGGGAGGGGGTTTACCTGCACAGAACTTTCTGGCTGGTCTCCATTACACTCACCCCCCTAAACCTCACTCCCATCCGGGTCATGGCACCAATGTAACCCTGCCGGTCTTAATGCACCCAAGCTGCTCCGAGCTAGGATCGAACTGGCGACCTTCCGCATGGGAGTTGGCTGCTCCAACAAGGAGGCTAAAGACCATGGCCAACTGTTCCAGCTGGGACTCAAACCAGCGACCTTCTTGTTGTGAGTTGACAGTGCCAACCACTGAGCTTCCCATTGTAATAATAATAAATGTTTGTTGTGCAACAAATCATTGCATAAGAATAATTGGTAACATTTTACTTGAAGGGGTTGTTCATAAGATGTCATGACTCCTTTATGACATCTCCTCAATATGAATTAGATTTTCCCATTTCATAATCATTATATACTAATTAGTACTGTATGCTTATAACAAATGCCAATAAGTTACACCATTTTAAATGCAAGGGTAACATTAATTAAGTTGTTTTTATGTCATCTTGACACAACAAAATACATCCTCACCTGTTTTTGTCTTTGTTATGACAACTTGAAATTACGAAGACAACATAACTTGTTATAAATCTGTCATAAACATAATTGTCACATTACAATTTTGTTCATTTACATCTGGATTTCTGATTTCTGAATTATCATGTGACACAGAAGATTGATGCTTTAAATTCAGCCTTATAATAACAATGTTTTCAATATATTGAAATAGAAGCTAAACTTATCTCTAGCATGAATTTTGTTACCATTTAAATGTTTATATGAACCATTTTTTATTTTAAAAGTCCAGAAATAATGTATAAAAACATAATGTTTTTTAAATATTGAAAAAGAAAACCTGTTATTTTACTTTATAATACTATTTAATCACCACTGTGGGCATTGTTATATACACCTTAACATGCTAAAAAGATTCTAAACTTCAAAAAGAAAAAAGCACACTTATCGCTCATCCTCCACAACATGCTGTTCATTATTGGTCATCATTAGTGGTCCCAAATTGCTCGGCTGAGTTAATTTAATCTCTGCATTTTAATCGGTATTTGTTTCTTATTTGGTAGCAGATCCATCTTCAGCTTGTCATACTGTCACTGTCTTCCAATAAAGCCTGACACGGAGTTTGTCTAAGGCACTTTGACAGGGGCTGAAATGCTGAGAGCATGATCCTTGGCGCAAGTAACGCTCTTATATTGCGTCAGCCGTTTCTGCTTTCCACTGATAGGTTTCACGGTTAATGCATTCATTTCCTGCTGTATCTTTTGTCGAGTTTTAAGCAGAAATGCCACCGACATTCTGGGTCAGGAGAGGGAACGGGGAACAGCGAGAAAGTTGATGGAAAGATTCAGCGTCCTTTTATTAAGACCTTGACCTGGGGTTAGACGTGTTTGTACATCTTCGGTTTTTAACCATTTTGACTTCTTTGTGAAGCTGAAACGTTCAGAAAAATGAAATAGTTCAGATTGTGAGTCACATATTTGAGGTTGATGGAGCATTAATAAAGGAAAGGTACTCTAATGCTTCATATCTATACCAAGGTGGATGCTTTTAATGAATGGTACCCGCTATGTCCTTTCAGCAGAAGAAATAGGCATGAAATAGTTGAGAAGCTTCTCTTGATTGGCACAGCGGTGGTATGTTAGGATGGACAATTGATCAGGCCCTCCTACTGTTAAATCGATGCTCTTCAAAGACGCCACATCCTCGAGCTCATGGGGCGAAAGCATTGATTGTCTGCAATCAAGGAGCCAAATGAATGTTGGTGCTGCTGTGCTGCTGTCATTGAAGTTTCTCTTTCGCTGCCTTTTCTGTGTGTATTTAGTAAGGCTGTCAATCGATTTGTGTTTAGTGGGCCTGTCAGTCCATTTAGGTAATCAAATGAAGTGTGTAGTGTTTTGCAAAGAAATAGTTTAATGACACTAAAACGTTATACATGTACAACTTAAAAATACTGTCATATATATTTAAAATATGATCCAAAATACTTTTGAATTTTTAAAATTCAATTTAAAATGTTTATGTAAATATAGGGGAGCGAGGATGCAAGTGCCATTTTTCCTAAAAACCTATTTTTTAAGATAAGGTATTAGACAGAAATCTATTTTTGCTGTGGTTGCTAGCTCATGTAGGCCTACACGGAATCTGCACGTGCAGAATTCCATAGATTTTCCGCAGAATTCCGCAGATTTTTACCCCACCAATAATTCTGTTTATTTACTTGAGTAAATGTGTGTAAATCTAAATGTATTCAGTTTTTAAATTAATTACAGTAATATTATTGACTAATGAGAAAATGTTCATCTAATTTTTGTACACTGCAGTTTGAACAGTAATATTTTCTGTCTTTTAGTAGATATATTTTATGAGAGACTTGCTTTGTTTACCAAAATAAAGTAAATCTAATTGTTGCATTTTAAAAATTAAATATGAGTTAAAAAGATATTATTTTTTATATCACATATTAAGGTTTTAGTTATGATACTTCCAAAATCATTCTGCAGAAATTCGCAGATTTTTATCAAAATTCTATGCAGAAATAGCACAAAAAACGTCCACTGATTCTGTCTGGCCCTACTCATAGGTGTGGTCTATCAGTATCAGTTGGTATTTTGAACTAAGGTTGAACAAATTGCACATTGTTACTTTTGATCCTGTCATTGGTGACAAATGTTAAACATGGGGGGTTCAAAAGTAACACAACAATATTTGCTATATTTACTGGCTTAATCTTCTTTATTTTAAATATATCCTACTATGACCTAGTTAATGTTAACTGCAAACAAATTTTGTCCTTTATTTTTGCAAGAAATGTTAAACTGCATTTTCATTTTTAAATTTGCTTCCATCAATTGTTTCAAAAGCTGCCAAACAATGCAAAAAAAAATTTTTTTTTAATGTTTTGTTTAATTATTGGCAATATGCATCGATTTTGTAAAACATCTGAATCAAAACACTGAAAACAAGGTATGGCTATGAGAGATTATACATAAATAATACTATTTTTGTTCCCAAAGGAACTCTTGCTATAACCAATTTACTTTTAAACTGGAAAAAAACATATTTCAAACTTAAGGGTGTATTATTGCACTAAATAACCTGTGGATTGATCATTACTATGATGAATAAAAAGATAAACACAACTTGTTAAAAGAAAAAAAGAACAGCAGCTTTCTGCACTTAAAAAATGTAATTCAGATAAAACCGCAAGATACGGTCCTGAAATCAGGTGATATTTGGCAGCTCGTTTAAGGGTTACATGCTGCATGTCCTTGTCAGGGTTCTGCCACTTTGGTCTTGTAAATTCTTGTTTTGGTGGCAGAGCTCTGACACTACTCAGGTCTGGTCCTGTTTCTGTCTCTGTGTGCGCGCGCGCCGTCGTGGGTGTACGCAGAGTGTGCGCGCTCCTGCTTGACGCGGCCGCGCGCGCGCTCTGCGTCCCTCAGACGCGTGCGCTCTTGTACTCGTGTTTGTGTTTTCGTCTGTCAGCAGCGTGGTGTTTCATTCCCAGCGTCTCAGTCTTGTTGGTTTCGATTTTGGTCGGCGCTGGGATGAAGCATGCACGCTGCGTGTGTGAGCGCACGGTGAGTGTTTTAATTCATCGTGTGCTCGTGTCTTGCGTCTTTTGTCAAAGCACGTGGCTCGGTGTTTACATTGCGGTCACGTGCTTTTGTCGTGTGCTTCAGTGTTGTGTTATGTGAGCGCATGGCTTGTATTGTCTCTCTGTGTCATGCGCTCTCCCGTCTATTGTCTAGTCCCACCCTCCTTGTTTACTCATTATTAGTTTGTCATGTTCACCTGTGTGTCAATGTACTTTTTGCTTTATAATCCCCCTCATGTTTTCAGTCCTTTGCCAGTTCGTCGTCTAAACTCCCCATGTGTTCCTGCTCTTGTC